CTTTCAGTTACATTAAAACTAGTTATTGAGTTATACATCCTGTGAACAGAACAGTACAAGTTGCCAGTGTACAGAATAGCATGGGCAGAAGCCAATTATAAGAATAATGATAGCAGAAGTCAAATACAAGCTGAGAACAGCTTACCTCAAGTTAATGAACTGGCATATAGATGAGTTAAAAACAAAGCACAAAAAAATCCATATTGAAATCCATGGCAGAGTTTCAGTTCTACTGTAATGCTCTAATCATGGAAACTATAGTACATCAACTTTAAGTGCTCAGGAGAACAGTCAAATTTCTGTCTTGCAGTGGAGAAACGGGACTTTTTTGTTTTCCAATACCCTGTTAGGGTCTTGCTTTTACTGGGTCAATCAGCAGTCAGGTATGGTATAGCTCAAGGATCCTAACCCAGTGGGCAAGTTCTAACCTTTGTCAACGATGAATGGCCTATCAGCACAGCTTCTCAAGCTGTGGCATGATTTCAGCAGCTGAAATCTGCTTTTGGCTTTTATTTAATTACCCAAAGTTTTCCTATGCTTCTCAGGGTCAACAACTGTAATAAGGTAATTCATCTGAAGCATTTGAGTGAAACTTTAAATTTTAACATTCTCCATAAAATCAATGCTAAGAAATCTCCATCAATATCTCAAGCCTCTGAAGACTTAATCCCAGCAACAGTCAAGAGGTTTGACTGGCAGTCACCTCCTCAGAAACTGTAAAAGAATGCTTAATGCTGTGGCAGGCAGAATCCCATTGCTATCACAAAACCAGGAGCTTGAAAAGCAGATGCGTCAGAGGTATTGGCATAAGAATCCTTTAATTCCATATTATTTTCATGTAGTGTTGCTAGGTTTTGGGTTTTGTTTTCATTTGAATAGTCATTATAATGACTCAAAGTAGGTTTTAAATCTTGCAGGAATTTTCTCTAAAATGAGCAACATTTTACAGGGTAGGCTCCTCAAATGGAACTTGAAATGGAAACTGAGAAGAGTTATACCACTAGACTACAAGCAGAGCCAAATAAGGTTTCTAGGCATTTTTGCAATGTATTATTCTCTCATAAGAATATATAGTGGAGGTATGGTTCTTCAAGTACAAAGTAGAATGTTTAGCCCATTTAAAATGCAGCTAACCAATCTTCTTAGAATAAATATTTAAATGTTTTAACAATGGAAATGAGAAATTCAGACCGAATGCTGAATCCATTGTAATTCCTAATTCAAATCTGTCAAATTTTATGCATTTCAAGTTTTGTGAGGTTTTTTTTTTTTTAAGTTACATTTCTGAATCCAATACCCTGTGCTCAGGGTAGTGAATTGCTAAATTAAACTGTCTATTGACATTTTTTTAGGAAAAAATGGGAGATAAATTGATTTTCTTAGATGCTGGTATTCTGTAAGAATGAACATCCCCAAAGAGATTTCAAATTGAGCCTGTTGTCTTACTAATTTGCACACCATGCTACTTTTTTCCTTGATTAAAACCTTAGTAAGGAACTGCTCGAACCTTGGGAGTTGCTAGGCATAACTGAAGGCCAGCATGTGCCAAATATGCCACAGCACGGAGTCTTTAGTTGTCATCCAGCATACTGTGTGTAAGCAATTGACAAGCCTCTCCTCCCTCTACCTCCCAGGATTTTTGTTATTGAATTGCTACATAGTGTATCTTAGCCTAATTGAACTCATTACTTAAGGGACTACTCTGTCTACAAAAGTATTCAGGAAATATTATTCCTGAATAACCATGAATAACATTCTTACACTGGAAAGAGAGTGGGCTAGATAACATGCCTAGATAAAATAATGAATAAACAGGTGCTAAAAGATGTTCTGGCAGCTTCAATGAATCCGGAGAACCCCCTCAGAAAACCTACAAGGAACAATTCACCTTTTGCACATAAGAGCTGGTGGAAGAAGCCCAGCTTCCCAGGAGCATGAGATGTGACCTATGAAATCACATACCATGAGTCAAATCCCTCATGGAAAGAGAGAAAGATGCTGAATGGAGTGGTCTGATAGAGTCCATTCCAGTTACTTCAAAAGTACAGCTACATAAAAGCAGGATAGAAAAGGACTCCACCTAAAAGCATCTTTTGCTTCTCACGAAAGAAATGTATGTCCTCAATGGCTTTAATGATCTCCTTGAGCTGACCAGGACCAAAGCAGGCAGCCAGGAATTGCCCTGCCAGACTGCAGCATATTCACAGGAAGCTTTGACACGAGCTGAGAGGCACACTCCCATTCAATATCCAGGAGGGATCTGGGGGGCAAGGGCCAATCTCAATATTCCATTTGGATGTAACTTCTTCTTCCAAGAGAGTGAAAGAGTTTGAAATTATATGGATGCAGCTTCTAGGTGGCCTCTAGAATGGGAATGGGCCTGAGACATACTGAAGTACAGATATACTTTGATTATCCCATGCTTTTTCCAATGTGTACTGTGATTCATACCACAAGAAGTGCATTGAAAAATTTACGGTTTAAGAAAAGAGACAAATGTTTTGCTCTTATGAAAAAGGGATGATACAGTCACTACAGCCTTTTGATTTTGCCCGTAGCAGTGTAAATCAGGAGTGATTTTATAGAAATTAGAATATCTATGCCCAGAAAAATGATGAGTCCTTTTACAGCTGCACTTATCAGGATGTTCTAAGGATCATTTTCATTCCTCTTTTGGACCCCTATGGTAAGCTTTAGAAGTAATAAAATATTAATTCTTTTTTCTAAGACTGTGGAGTAAGGATAAGCTGAAAATCTACTTGTGACATTTATACACACTAACATTGACTAGATATTTCTGGTTTCAGGAGCTCCCCAGCCTTAACAACTGAACTCGAAAAAGTGTTTCCTGAGTCTGACAAGAAGCTGAACTGAGGGACATACTGCTTGGCTTCCCTCAGATGCTCTTGACTCCAGTTGAGTCAATCCTTGTAAAACAAAAAAGCTCATAATTGTTAATTTCAAAGACGTATGGTTCTGTTCCCTTATAATTGTGTTTAATTCTGATACTGTGCCCGTGTTTGTGCACTGTGTGTTAAACACAAGTTAGTAGTGTGTTTAACACTACTATTGCCATGATCTCTATGTTAGTTGCTAATCATGTGATCTCTTTTTCTTCAATTTAGCAGTGGAGATGTACAGGTAAAACTACTTATGGAGATACTTGTGAAGAAAAGGCTACTTATTGTACTCATCTGAGCTTTACTTCCATCTCAGCATTATATGTGAGTTGTTCCATTGAAATAATAGCAAAATTTGTTATAATTTGCTTGTTGAATAGAAAACATTAGCCACTAAGTGAATGATATAGGTTTTTGGGAAAAGTAATATATGGCTATTTTTAAAAAGTATGGAAAATCAAGGCCAGCCTGAAGGAGTTTCCAGACACAGAGGAACTAAGAGTGGAACTAGTTGCATGTATAACAGGCCCAAGTGCTGAAGTTAATATGCTCAAGTGTTCAACATGTCGGTGTGCAGTAATCCCAACTGGACAAACATATTCTTCAAATGTTCAGAGTGCTGAATTTTGCTTCATTGTGCAGTATCTTCTCTCATAGTCCCATTGAAAGCAATTAATTGAAATTAGGTAGAGATATGAGTGGAGACAATATGGCTTGGCCCCAAAATAAAAAAAGAAATTAATCTCAACATAATGCAAGGACAGATGTGCATACTGGGCAAATCTAACACTACCATAAAGAAAACATGTCAAGAACATGGTCATGTACAGAAAGACAATTAAACCAAAGAAATAAACATAGCAGCACTACTTTCCTGAACAGAATCAGGACACATTATCACAGAAGAAACACTGGCAAATTGCTTCATGAAGATAGTAGGGCTTGGAGAAGAGGAAATATGTAGGCTGCAGAGACTACCAGGCTCATTTATTCTAACTTCTCTGAGGGTGGAATTGAAGCTATTGTAATAAGTTGCATGATAGCATATTGAAAAAATTCCATTTAATGACTAATACTGGTTGGCATGTGTCATTACGTTTCTTAGGGGAAATTGTGGAGAACTGGGCTACCCAGTATAAGGGAGAGTACTGCAAAGTGGTCCAGATTGTTGCCAAGTATTGGCATAGATATCACATTCAGTGACACAAGATACATAAAAAACTGTTTGAAGATATAAAGAATTTTCTTTTAAGAAAATTTCAGAAGTGTACAGAGAAATGTATTCTGTTACCCATTAGATGCATTAGCTAATATATTAGTATAAAGCCCTTTGGTTTTATGAAGCCTGTTTGAAATGGGATAGTGGCAGACTAAAACCTAGGTAAGGACTAAATCCTGACTATGAATTTATCTAGAAAACTATGTTGGGAAGAGTAATTTCATAGAAAATGGGCAGAAAAAAGGCAGGTCCCAATCAAGTTCTTCCTGCAAAACTCCTACCTGAAAACAGATACCCTTTTTAAGGTACCTGTTCATAACTGCTCTTACGACAATTGTTTAAAAAAGAAAAACCCAAATGAATCCTCCTATACCAAGCACATTATTGAGAGTATAAAGTGATAGAAACCTCCTGACCACCACGTCCATTTATGTGCCCATTTTATTCACCACACACTACAGGTAATGACATACAGCTTCCAGCAGAGGTGTTCACTTACTTACTCCACCAGCAGCCTATCTTAAATATGATACTTAGTGTATCGATAGGTCCCATATGAAGTGTGCATTGTAGCAGAACAAGTGCCAAGTGTTCAAAAAAATTGGCTGAGCCATGGGTGCTAATCAACACACAAGGAAGATGACAACCTACGATGTATTTGCTGGCGACCAGCATACCATGGGGTGATGGAGAGATGTCTGTAATACCCAGAAGGAAAAGAAAGAGACATTCTTTAGCCTAGATTTACCCGCTGTTGCTCATACGTTTACTCCATGATGTGTCTGAGTGAAATCAGTGAGACTAACATCACTGATGACAATTCAATCAAAACTAAACCAAAAACTTTCCTTACAATCAAATAAAAAAGCCAAGACTATCAATAGAATTAATTGAGCCAATATATTTATCACATGACCAGATGCTAAAGAGGCTGCTTAACACAGTATTGTAAATCAGATACCTGTAAAAACATACTAACTATAGTTTGCCAGTCTGGGAAACAAATTAATTTCTGTTCAACATCCAAATGATAGCAAACATTACCTTTGGAATTATTTATTCATTTTAACATACTTATATACAGTGATCTTATTCTGATGTAGTAGTTTATTTCAACATAATCTAAGTAGACTTCTATGACTTACTGAAGGTTATTTAATACATTTGAGAGTTAGACACTTTCCTTATAAGCCTTCATAAATATGATAGCAACAATACGTCTTTTGTTGTCATGTTTTCCAGTTTTTATATCTTTACCGAGAGCAAACACCATTTAACGATGTTTAAGTTGCACCTGAAATGGGCAATTTTTGAGCAATATATGCCACATACAATTTGAAACTAATCTAAGGAGCTAAAGAAAATTAAAACATACATGTTTATAGGTATATATAATATATTGGTGTATAATAATGTATACACACACATGTAATTTAATATTTATCTTTAATAGGAAAAAGTACAGTAGAATTCCACTAATGGCAAGATTTGTTTGTAGAGTATCCATAGAAAATTGGTGCACTTTTTCTGAAAATCAATATAAGCTTGAAACAGAATGTGATACTAGATAATTCTCTGCCATAGCCTAAAACTGATAATCAATTTAAATATCTAAATAATTTAATTAAACCCTATAGGAATCAAATAGGCATTTGATAATGAAACATCTCCACTGATAAATGTTACTGAGTAAAATTTTCTATCAGTCCCAACTAGGTGAGTGTACAACATTTAGAATAAGGCCTCTCAGTCTTGACTGGAGCTCATAGGTACTACTGGAGTACAAATAATAAATAATAGTACATGTACTGTAAAGTCTCTAAACTCAGTGATAATACCAAGCATTTTCCATCTTTGAAACACTATACAAACATAAGACTATTCCTCACAACACCCCTGTGAGGTAGGTACAAAAGTGTTATCCCGTCTTACTGATGGGGCAACTTATCCCAATACTACAAGGTGCTAGCTGATGCTGCAAGGGGATTCCAGAGGCCTGAGTTCCTGATTCCCAGAGGCCCCAGAAGTATGTTGTTCTTAAGCAAAATATTAGTCTAATTAAGAACTTGCCCACATCCTTAAAAATGTCAGTGGCAAAGCCCAAAGCTGCTGGCTTTCAAATTTGTCACTTAGTCAATTGATTGAGACATTCTCCCTTTGAAAAAATAAGGTACTATACATTGGTCCTGTGACATGCACAAACATGTATTTTTCTTTTCATAAGTCTGCTGATACCTTTCATATCTGCAAGGGAAGGCATTTCCCTGTCAGTGCATACCTTGTATAGCAGACCTGTAGCAAGAGTCTCCCATTCTTTCACTCATATGCATAAAATCACAGGTTATTTTACTCATTTATGTGAATACTCTGAATAGTCATATGATGGCACCAAATTATATATTAAGGGGCACAGCCATATATTTTTTTATATTCATCTTTCAGGACCTCCTTTAAAACAGGGATAATCCTGTGGAATGTACTAAAATATATGTATTCTCTTTTCCCTCTTTTGAAAATAAAGTCTGGAATGCTTTTGCTTAGGCTTTCTTTAAAATACTGTATAGCTAGCCATTGTTTTGAAAATGCATAAGGAAAAGCAAGACATCCGAACCTGGAAGCAGTCCCTCTTGCACCAGAACAAACCTGGAGTATCTCCACTAAAGGCCAAAGAGCTTCAGTGGTGTAACAACAGGCAGAGTGAATTTAGGATAAGGATTTCCATCCTCCTGCCCATCTGTGGCTGCCCTCTACCAGCAGCACTAACGAGCTTCATGCCTTCATCTGAAGGAGGGAGTGTGAATGGCATGTTTGTCAACAAATCCTGTGAGCTATGCACATACCTGATCACATCACTGAAGACTTCATCACTCATTATGCTAGTGTTACACATAGACGTAAAAAACAGGCAGCTCTTTTGACCTCTGCAGAATTAGAGAAAAAGGAAAAAAATAAACCACAGTATCTTCCAAATGGCGGAGTGCATGCAGAGAAGTAAATTAAAGGCAACACAAATACAGCACAAATGCAGCTTTAGGAAAACAAAGCTTTTGCCAAAAGAGACAGGGAAAAAAATAAGTAAAGGAACAGATAATATATTGAGGGCTAATATATATAAAATGAAAAAAAAATAAAGTGGGTAAAAATTATTTCAATCATTTAATTATGTTAGTTCAATAATTTAATAAATGATGTCTTTCTAATAACTCATGGGGAAAATGGAAGTGAAAAGTTCAAAAGCCGTGCTGAAACACTCCCCTTAAAAAATCATAACAGGCAATTTTTCTGATCATATATTGAGTTCCTACATGGCTATCTTTTTAAACATCTGTAATTCAACAAACTTTGACCATTTTAATCTGTGTAGCATATTTTATTATTTAATGTCTTCATATGATAAAAAAAATAACCCATACATATTTTAAAATAGATACCATTCTGCTTTCATCCTTTCTTTGGGGGGTAGGAAGGGAAAGCAGGTAATTTTCCTCTTGTGTTTTGAACAGAACCATAGCTATCAGCTTTCCTTTGATTTTCTTCTCTTTTGCATATCATGTTTTCTCTCAGCAAGACTCAGGGACGTGCATGGAGGAAGAAAAGCACAAATCTATCATTGTTGTTGAGTCACCTGAGGAAACTCATACCTTCTTTGGGTTCGTCTTATAAAACACAGTATCTGCATAACAAGGCCACTGAAAAATGATTAGTACAGATTTTTCTCTTTTATTTATCTTTTGTCTGTTTTAAATGCAGCAGGCATTCACCATTGGAATATAACAGCTTGGAGTTTACTCAAACATACAGCTTTTTTGCAGGAGATACGTAACCACATGCCTAACCTTAAGAATGTAAATACTTTTATTTAAATCAATGTGAAAAAATAATTTGGTTAAAGTTAGACATGCTTTGATATTGGAAAAAAAGACAAAACAAAACCATGGGTTTAAATGTATAGTTTATGTCATTTGGAATGAACGGATGCGAGTTGTCAATTTTTTCCTTTTTGTATTTTAGAATTTGAACTGCTCCTGACAAATTTGTTCATGCAGTGTATCGTGAATATTAGGCAGATGTTTAAACAACCTGAAAAGGAGGCTTTTTCATTAGATAGTACAGGATAAATTCAGTTCAGAAAGCAGTCAATTTGAAACAGTAATCATTCCAAAGTCTGTTTCCCCCCCTCCAAAATATTTTTGGTGTCTTTTTTTTTGTTCTACTACCTTGGGATAAATTCTTCTAAAAATTATTTTCATTGGAAAAGAGATTTTTATAATTCTATCTCTTTGTAGGGTTAATATAAATTAGAAAAACACTTGAATATACAGTGTCGAGCTTACTCTGATTTTCAGATGCAATGATTAGAAGTCATTGACACCAATCTACCACAAGTGACCTTAGTCTCATATCTTGTTCTGTTATTAATCAAGGAACGCAATTCAGAAATAATATTACATCCTGCATTTTATTCAATTCCATATGACAAAAATAGTAACCTAGACTAAGACATCCATTTCAATCAGTAGATGTGTCAAGCCAACAAGAATTTAATAATAAAAAATATTGGATCTAGGTAACAATTCCCAGCTGTTTCAGGGAGGCTCCTAGCCCTACATGGTATCACAGTATAAAAATAGTGTCTCTCTTCACCATGCAGAGAGGAATGGCCTAACCCTGAATACAAAATGGGGTCAGTCTTACTGTACCATCGTCAACCATCTTATTTACAACACTTTACATATTTTTTCTCTTTTGCCTTTTTCATTTTTTCTTTTCTATTTTTCATTCTTTTTATTTTTTCTTTTTTTTTTTTAAAGTTATACACATCCTTTAGGGAATAGAGATAACACTACATGGTACCAAATACTAACAAAAAAAAAAAGTCACACCAAAAATTACACAGATAAATAAAAACATTCAATTGCTGACATACAGCAACATTAAGCCACCTCAGTTTTCTTTTTTCTTTAATGCTTGGAAATACCCCTAACCACCCACACACCGTGGCAAAAAATTATATTATATTGTAGAGGTGTTACAGACATATGATTTTGCTCAGATATAGATATATATTTATATCTATATATCTCTATCTCATCATTGCAGAAAATGGAGCTGTAGAGTTCATTGTTCATTTCCAATAGAAACAAACAGCTAATAAGTCTTTGAACCTCTTCTCACTCCATTACATGATGGCAGAAATACTCCATCCTCTTACAGTAATGGTTTCTGTTTTATAAGAAAGATTGTCCTATTTTTCAGTCTCAACTGAGAAGACCTCACTGTCTGATTCGTTCTTCAGGGGCATAAAACTCCTTGTGCTGTTACCCAGCTACCCATAATGTCCCTCAAGCAATTCTGCTGGACAGAAGTTCAGAGTGTCAACTCCACCATGCTTGTAATGCACAAAAATGAGGTAGTACACAAAACATTTACTGTTCAAGTTTTGATTAAGCCCCAGTCTCCTCAGCATTCCCCGCTTAACTTATGAATGGAACCATTCCCTTCGTTTACTCAGTGTAATTCCAAAATGCAATCAACATAAAATTATATTTGATTAATCAGAGTACATTGTGCTTTGGAGCAATCTGAAAAGATAATCAGACAGTTGGAAATAAATATAGAGCATTTGTGTGTTACTACTGCTCATGCTGCCCAAAAGTTCTTTTGTTCCCGCTATTATTAGGCAGTCAGCATCTTTCTCATGGTTATGCGTGAAAGAGACAGAACAGATTACAGGAAAATTAAACCTACATAATGTTTTCCTTCCTCTATCCTAGACTTGTATTAATATTACACTCCTAAGACAAATGTATCAGAATTCTGTCAGGGGTGGTCACGCTTTTAAGTGGGCGTCATAGAAAAGTTAAATGAATCATTTCCGTTTAAGAAACAGCAGTCCCTGTATTTCCTAAGGATCTGACAGTTCTCTGCAATTTTCTGCTTAGTTGATAGAGCTCTCTCACTGTTTGAGCTGAAAACAAAACAAGAAACTGCAACAGGGTCCTCCTCCTTATTCCTTAAGTCAAAGTACTATTTATAAAATAGCTGATATCTCTGTTCAGTTTCAAATTATAGACAAACCTCCCTAATAGAAAATAATAAAAGTGCAATAGTATAAATTAAGAGTTTGCAACCACATTATACAAACATTACCTTTTTATTGTACAGCTTTGATAACACGGAGTATTTACTCACAACTGTTTATAATGTTGTGAATAATTTATGGTGCTAAGGTTTGTCTGTAACTTGTTTTCCAATCATTGAGCTAAAATCCACGCTACATTTTTTTTCATTTAATAGAACAACTGTTCACATAGCAGCTACAAATATTTAAATAAAAAAAGGTTTGTTACTGACAGGTACTTGCACATGAAAAGCATGCTATCTTTCCCAATAAAACTTCACAATTTTGCCTGCATTGAAAGAAACCACTTATTCATAGTAAAACAAAACTTGCTTAAAAAAAAAAAAAAAAGGAAAAAGAAGAAAAATCACATAGCCAGATGTATTTTGCAGTACAAAAGCTTCATTTAAGTTTGGGGCTAGTATATTGTCTGTTACCCGCATAATCTTAACATTATAAATACTACAGACAAAGATACTGTAATAATACACAGCATTGGGGTACTAAATCACTTATTTAAGATTAAGATTCCTAAAAACATAGTCCAAGTTTCTAACTAATTTGAACAAAACCAGCAAATAAGTGTGAAAATGCTGTAATGAAGCCCCCCCTTCTCAGGTGATAGTAAGTTTTGTAAGAAGCAAAGTGGATGTAGACTAGCCTGTTTCTAATGAAGTTATCCCATGACTGGTTTGTTTGTTTGATTGTTTTCTGTTAAATTAAAAGGTTTCAAAGTTCTCAGTAACAGTCAAACTCACTGTTGAAAGAAGTACCATGCAGACCTTGCAAGACAACTTTTCAGCAGCCACAAAGTTATGTATTTCTGTTATGGGTAAAATTTTAAAGGGAACCTATGCGTTTAGGTCAGGAAACTAATGCTTAGCTTCAAAAGCTATAAATGGAACAGGACAAGTGTTGTGTTGAGTAGAGGTCCAACAGTTATTCGGAATGAATGCTTTTAATTTATGCCAATCTCTTTATTATCCTCAATAAATCTGGTGAATGGACGACTGGCTCCCGTCTCAGAACTTGCTTTGTCCAGACTGACAATGGGAGGGCTGCTGCCTGTGCGAGCTTTGTCCATGCCACCGGTAAGGTTACTTAGAGGCGGGATGGCGCCTCCGCCTAGACTTACTGGGAGCTGAGGAATGCCTCCATTCTGTATGACAGAAATCTCATTGTTCTTCATAGCAAGTCCATTAGTGATAGCTGCAGCATATTGGTTCCAAAAACTGGGGTCAACATTCATGGCCCGAGCTGCCAAATCCTTCTGGAACATCTCAGAGAACTTGAGAGCATCGCCACCGAGCAAAGCCATGGGGTTTTCCACGGAGAGTCGTCGACCACGGCGTGCAGGGGCGTTATTCCACATGTGAGTCCCCATGTGAACCTGCAGAGTGAACAGGGACAAGAAGCACCCCCAAGTTAGCACATTCTGGTGAGGTGTCTAGCCTGAAATGCTGTTACTTAGAGTAGCACTTGCTTTTTTAAAATTATGCCTTTTAATTTGCATTGAAAAAACTCAATTCCAGTAAGGACAGAGTTCTAAGGTCCATTCAGCCCACACAAAGAAAACCCAGATCCACAGTAGTTTTTCAATGTGCATTTGATTCTTCTTGGTAAAAACAGTGCTGCAAGACTAAAGGGTACATTCTCTTTTGGGTTAGACAATTTCACATGCAAGCTGGAAGACCTCACGTACTGAAGATTACCAATGGCATTACTCATACTAAGAGATGGGTGGGTTTTCCCTTTTCATTTTTTCATCCTGTCTGTTTTCATGTTTTATCTCATGTTAGAAGCACTGATTAATTTGCTAAATTTAGTATCTTTAAAAAGGACATTTAAAATGTCTTCCCCAGGCTGAGCCCTGATGGTTAGCCAAATGGCAAGAATAGGAGTGATCAGTCCTGTAGTAACCTATTGTAAATCTGTGAGAAACAGCTTTCTACTATGCAATGGCTGCAAAGTGGAATAGAAAATAGAAACTGGGGAGGCGCCCAAGGAGCTGAGCAAGCTCTGTGTTTCTGGTTTATAGCAAGGTTATTTTGCATTGATAGTCTATAAGAACTCTCAGAACATGTCCACCAGCTGATTGAATGTGCCATCATATCTGTCACGTGATGCCTGCATGTACACCTGGAACCAGTTTTAAAGTTCGCATCTTTGCACAGCCAGTTTCCAGTCCTTATCTTCTACACAGTGGAAGCATAATGACCACCACTGTACAGCAAGCATTTCCTTGAAGCTCCCTTCTCACCTGTCTTTGGGACAAACACTTAGCACTAAAACTTGCTGAATTCAAGATCAGTGCTCTTTAACCCACCCTCCCCAAGCCTTTACAGTTTTATGTGGCCTCTTACCTTAAGATTCCCCTTTGTGGTAAAAGCTCTACCACAGATTGTGCAACCAAACGGTTTTTCACCGGTATGGGTGCGCTCGTGTATCTGCAGTGCACTTGCTGAGGAGAAGGTCTTCCCGCACGACTGACAGTTGTGCTGCTTGGGAGTCCGGCGAGGGGGGGGTGCCAGCATAGGGGTGATCCCCGGACTCATCACTGTCTGTGGTGCAGCAGGAACCTGGATTCCAGCTGGAAGCGAGGGAACCTCACCCAAAGAGATCGGCTTGCTGTGACCATTCACTTCCATTTTGATCATGGTAGGTGCTGTACTGGTGACCAGGCTAGGAGTACTTTGGCTGGGACCTAGAGTAAAGTTGGGTTCAAATAACTGAGAAGGCAGCTCTTTTAATTTGTGCGTCAGTAAGTGCTGTTTTAAATTACCCATAGTGGAACACCCACGACTGCAGACTGTACAAACAAATGGACGTTCTTTAGTATGGCTGCGGTAGTGAATTTCCAATGCACTCTTACAAGCAAAAGGCTTGCCACAGATATTACAAACAGTACTTTTAAACTTACCACGTTCTCTGTTCAGGAACAGCAGACTAAAAGGAGCCTCCTCTTTGATGACCGGTCTTCCCGGGTTGGTGGATGTCAGGTCTAATGCGCCTCCATTTTCAGTTGTGGGTGGTGGACTGTCTGGTTTTTCTGTCTTTAATTGTATTTCTTGTGGCTCTTCCTGGTTACTGAGACCGGGGGACTTTGATCTGAAACTTTCACTATTGCTATTCACAGGAGACAAAGCTTGCATGGAGGAAGAAGACTCTGACATTGCAGGGCTGCCTGCACTCTGGCTTTCAAGATCACCAACAGCTGATGAGGAGTCATTGCTCAAATGGTCACTTTCCCCTGATCCATTTTCTATGGATTTTAAACTGGTCAGCTGCTGACAGTTCATGACAGAATCAATCATTTTCATTTGATTCTCCAAAGCAGCAATACTGGAGATCACA